TCTTGCCTTTTCTGCATGTCCGGAGTCCACTACTCACAACATGCAGGAAAGGCAATAATATGGCGGCGTATCTCTCCATGTTCCACCATAAGGTTCATTCTCATTTTGCAACGCGGCTCATAGTAGAGTACAGAAGCGTATTCGGGCTACTGCTAGATCCAGTGCTGAACCCCACTCCTCAACTTATTTTTCTTTTCCTTTTTATCTAAATGACAACACCAACTCAGTTTTTTGGGGTTGCCCTCCCACAGCATCGGGCAATGGCCACGAACTGGTCCGGGAAGGGCAGCTCAAACGTCCTGGCGGTTTAAACCACCAGTGCACGGCCCCTGGAGGTTTAAACCACCATTGCACGGCCCCAACCTTGCTGAAAAAGAAACTCGTAGCCAGCAATAAATTCGGAGGCTCGGCCTACTGGACCACGATGGCTGGCAGCGCCAAACCTTGGCGCACAGCAAGGGCCTGCAGGCCCAGGTGTACTGATGGTTTAAACCACCAGTTCACCCGAAGCTAAGTCAAGCTCTTACCAGTGTACATGTTAAGAGCACGACACTTAGGGACCTGGGTCGGTAGTGAGTGGCCTTGAAAGGCCACATAGCTTCAACCCAGCTAGAGGCTCTGGAGCCTCAGAAGGTGCTTTGCACAACCAGGCACGGCTTAACTGGTGTTTTCATTCCTTTTTCCTAATAAAGTCATCAATTCTCTTTTTTGTTCGACTCGTAGAAACAACTGCTATAACAAAGCTGTTGCGAGAGAGCACATTGGGAAAACAAAATGCCAAAATGGGAACCTGTATGAAACACAAGGCTGCAACATTGTCCCACTACAGTAAACACAATGTTCCTTGCTACTACCGTATCATGCTTCCTATCTACAAGGTTTGGTTGTGACGAGTTCCGACAAACAACTTGAGAGAACTCGGACCAGTTGCCTCAATCCACAGTGTTCGGTTGTGACAAGTTCACACAAACAAAGTAAGTGAACTCAGGCCAGTTGCCTGAACAATGTCCCAATACACTAAACACAAAGTCCCAGAGGCACCTTTGGTCCCACAGTATGATGCTTCCTCTCTACAACGTTTAATTGTGACGAGTTCCCACAAACAAATTAAGTGAATTGAACTCAGAATTCAGATAATTATCAAGAGCCTAAAACTCAAAAACATAATTTCGTTTTTTGGTAGTATGAAAATAGAATTAGCCCAAAAATGAGTACCTAAACCAATCATCATATCTTTGTCCAAATGTCCTTTTTCTCAGAAGTTTTAATGTTTTTCTTTTTTTATTTCCTTCACATTTTTGAAAGCCTTTCATTCTGCACAAGTCCACAGTTGAACCTCTTCATTTTGTTGGCCTTCTGCAGAAGGGCCCCAGCCCAGAGGGCTCTATTTGAAACATTTAAACCAGCAGTGCCCCACCCAGCTACCCGTGAGAACACACTGGTTAACACCCAGCAGTACCCCACCCAGCTACCCGTGCAAACACACTGGTTAACACCACGCTGCGTAAGGGCTCAGCCTACCAGACCAGAAAGGCTGCTTCCAGTAGACCCTTGTACGTTACGATTCAGCATTTAGAGGGGGGCCGAAATCAGCGATCAACCAACGGGCCTACCCCCCAAACATAATGCATCTTGATAATGAACATATACAAGCTAACTTTCCAGTCCGACACAGTCAAAATGAGAGTGCGTTGTGTTCAGGGGAAGACGGTAGCTCAGTTGGCTTACTACTTCAGTACATAATAAATTTGATAAGTGTAATAGTATCCTATGCATCTCCTCTTTTTTCAATTCTCTCCTCTTTGGTTGTTTTCACCCTTTTCCCCCCGCTCTCCTCTTTTTGTTTCTTTTTTCAATTCTCTGCTCTTTGGTTGTTTTCACCCCACTGGCGCACTCTGCCATGCCGGTGCCTGGCACCACACGCTCACTTGCAGGTGCAACAGCAAGTGGAAAGTCCGTAGAATAGGGTATTTCCGCAGACCGTTATCGACGGCCCAGCCTTCTGCCATTGAGAGCCCAAAAAGACGATCTCTCTCACCTCCCATTTTCATGGGTGTATTCCACCTCTTAAATAGGCTTTCCACTGGGGTCGCACTGACCCAGACTGTAAAGTTTGGGGTCACATTGCAATGAGACTGATTATGTTCTCGGGTGCATTTGAACATGGGAATATACTGTCTCAGGGCCTACTCACACTAGAACTCTTTCTATTAATTTATGTCCATGATTGCGGCCATAATCAGATACGTTTAGGAAACTGCTCATGCGACTACGTTCTTACACCTATCAACTGAAACTGCATACGCGAAAGCGCAGGTCAACGACAGACACACAAGGAACAGACTACCACCGACAACAACACTCAATGATGTTCCCCATTTACGTGTGTCAAGGAGGGCAGTGCCACACATCTGCCGCCTGCTACAACACACACTAGCATCAGGAGAAGAAGCATCACTACAAAAACGTAGATCAAAATGAAGTTAGGGATCGGTAAGACTTAGACCTGCCCGCTGGCTGAATGGTACGCACTACTACGCATATTTCACTGTCGATCGAAAGACAAAGGGCGCACATCCTGAGGGATATTACACAGATAAGGAGTTACTGGCTTCGAAGCATAGAATTTATAAGGGGATTAAAAAAAGAGAAAAGGAAAAGGATTCCCAAAAAAAAAAGCAAAAACAAAAAAAACATTGGATCAGTCAACAGGCAGGCATGATTAAAGATGACGTGGGACGAGAACAAGGGGAACCCGAGAGAGAATTCTCAGTGCAGCAGGACCACAACTACCCATACATCATCATCCATCCACAAGGCACTTGTCATATGCGCAGCAGAATCACTCTGAAAAGGTAGGACAGGAAAAAGTAAGGATTAGTATGGACTTGGCAGCAGAGGAGCCAGGTCCGACTACGTGGGATGATTATGATCTCGACATAGCACCCACTGCAGAGGGAAGGGACTAATCAGGGTAGAGAACAGCCTAGCAGGACAGGCGTACCACCTTCAGACTGTAGAACACAACAACTACCTTCTTCCCCCCAATAGAATGCCCGGTCATTATGACTGCATCTGGACTGAAAATCGCCCCAATTTCAGCTGTAATGACAGGGCGTTCTATTCGGGTGAAAACGGTAGGTGCCATATCCAGCAGAATGCAGAGGAGCTGCCCCATCACTACACAGACGGAGGTGCTTACAAAGAGAGAACACATGGATTTCCTGATTGATGACAAAGACTGCAACAAATATCTCGCATGCATGGATCAAGGGTGGTCGTTTCGTACCCAATGCTTGGCAATGCTTTGTTGAAATGATTTATGAATTCGTTCTAAAACTCAGTCAATGAGAAAATAATTGGTGTAAGATGCTTGCCAGATGCTCGTTCTGAATGAGCCTGTCTGTCTATATCGGAAACTACAACACTCGCATCCGATGCCTGGCTCTGTACGGAAAGAAATTCGGAACCCAACCAACCCCTTCTACTTCAAGCTAATAATACCCTTCGTCTAGACACACAGTACACAATGACAATGACAAAAAGAAGCTTCCTAGCTCTGGATGGAAAGAAATGCGGAACCCGACCCCTTCTCCTTCAAACAACACTAACACTATACACAATGACAATGACAACAAGAAGCCAACGAGTGGATGCTAACCGCTACTCGGCTGTGCTGGTATGTGCTGTCCAACTATATGCAGGTCGGTCAACATGTAAGGGTCAACCAAGCAGCTTCAGCTTTTTCTTTCCTTTCTAACTTAAGCCTTCACGCAAGGAGGAAAGACATGATGTGTCCACACGTTGCACTTCGTCGTAAATTGACAGCCATCGTCTGGCTTCCAACGTTTTTCACATGGACATTCATAATTCCCACTGGGCTGCAGATCCGGTCAACGTAGACGTTAGCTACTAAAAGCAGCAGCAGCAGCTGCAGAAGAAGAAGAAGAAGAAGAAGAAGAAGAAGAAGAAGAAGAAGAAGAAGAAGAAGAAGAAGGCCATTCGGTCAGAACGTAGCGAAGAAGAGGCACTAGCTGACCATGCTCTAGCTCTGCTGTCTAACTGTGTGCGAACTGCAATCCCATACCCACACTAAGCCTTTTCCGGGTGTACCTGACCATCACGTACACGAGAATCCAGTTGAAACAGTCGCTATGTTAGACTACATCGTCCCCTTTATCCTCGGCGTGCTATGATTTCCACTGCTTGCAACATCTCACTTAGCGACCCAATTGCCCATCACGAAGAGTTGAGGGAGGAAATTCACGAGTTCAGGGGTCTAGCCACACGGCACTATAGTCTTTGCCCAAATAGAACACCCAGTCATTGTCACTGCATCTGAACAGAAAGTTGTGCCAAATACAGCTATAATGACGGGGGGGCGTTCAATTCGGGTGAAAACTGGCGCTGCCCCGTCCTCTTTTCGCACACATCGATACAGAAAACCCACACGTGTTTAGCATGGACCAAGTCTGGCTGTTCTGCAGACACTTGGCCAGCAGAAAAGCAGAGCAGTATGAAACGTGCACAGGCCCTGCTGACAGAATGTGACTCCGACCTCTTTTGCCCTCACAAGCTTCATCTCTGTATGGCTCCAATCAATCCTAAGGGGGATCAAGGGGGGAATGATATCTGTTCATAGTTATTTTGCGTAAAGCTGACTTGGCTCTTTTTTTTTAATGTTCTGGTAGAAACATGAAGGTATGCTATCTACGTTTGGAGTCATTGGTGATTTAAAGCTCAAGAACAAAAACATATAGGTAACATAGCATGTGCAAGGAAAATGAGCCAGGAGCATTGCACATGGTACAAAACAAAGAAAAAGAGAAATGTGATTTCTCTTCGTTACTCAGCACGAGAATTCCAATACAGGGAGGTAGAGATCTTGGGTGAGAAGAAGAAGAAGAAGAAGAAGAAGAAGAAGAAGAAAGAAAAAGAAGAAGAAGAAGAAGAAGAAGAAAGACAGCGATGTATCAAACATTCTGTTTTCTTGCTCTCACCTCATCCGACAGTCCTTCGAGCTCATTCATCAGCGCCTTGTACTTTGTGCTTCTCGACAGAAGATCCACATGTTCCTCATTCCACATCGCACAGAGCTTCATCAAAAGCGGGGGACGTCGAATACGAGCAGAGGAGCGCCTTTGATGATAATCTTCCACAACAAGAAGAGTTCCTCCGCCTCTCGATTTCCTTCTACCGCTGCTGCTGCTGGTTTTGCTCTCACTGCCTTCTCGCCGCCTCCTCTCCCCCCGCTCACTCCTGCCCCCTCTGCCACTCCTCTTAGCCGCCGGGACTATTGATCCCGCCCCTCCTTTCATCGAATTGATAGTTACTTGAGACTCGTCGCTGTGTCTGCCAGAGCTCCGTCTCTTCGCCACATTACCACCACGATGTTCCGCCACCGCAACGTCCCCGCTCTCTTCCTGTATCTTCTCCCCCGGCCCCTTACCCGTCTTACCGCCATCTCCTGCCCATCCCCACGCCGGCAAAGCAGCACGCAGGATACGAAACATGGGATCCAAAATTCGAAAGGGACTGCCCTTCTCCTCAGCTTTCACATCCTTCCTCCGCCTGTCCTCTGTCGGCGTTGCGGCGGCCCCTCGTCGACTCGACTTGCGCAAACGACCTTTGGAAACATCGGCCACCAAGGAGCTGGTTCGGAAGCTGTCCCTGGCGTCTTTCCAAGACTCCCGCCCAGTGTGCGTCGAAGTTGTGTCCCGAGAAAAATCGGTAGTGAAGTCTCTAGAGAAGCCACCCGACTCTGAGGAGAACGTCGAACGCGGTGTCCATACTTTGCTATCGTCTTCACAGTCGTCCTCGACACCCCTCTTTTTGACGGAGGACCTTCTCCTCCCTCCTCCCCGCTCATGTGCATCCTCGCCATTGCGTCCAGCCCTCACATTCGTGGAATACGGAGTACCGGTGGACCCCACCATGGTGTCGCTGTTGGGACTGCTCAGGGGTATGTGCATCAATGGCGACTGCGAAGGACTCATGGGGTTGAGGATGCTGATGTGCGAGGAGGTAGAGTCCATCACACGAGAAGAGGAGTTGACCCCTCCTCTCCGCAAGGGCGAGGAGGAGGTTGGAGGAGCAGGACGACCTCCGGCCATCGCTGTCTTCTTCCTATCGCGGTCGCGAGATTGCGTCCCGCCCCCCACCTGCTTCCGGCTACCTTTGCGCCCAGCGTACGAATCCATGGAAACCACGGAAGTCGTTGGACTTGTTGCCAATACCAGAGCGAGATGGTTCGTGTCCTCCTCCTCCTCTTCCCCTACTCCTCTTCCCAGTTCTCTTGATGGATGGCCCAAAAAGCCCGACTTGCCAATGGCAGAGGAGGGGACAGGCTTGTCGCCACCGACGACCCCGGTCCAACGACCAGGAGGGCTAATCGAGGGTTGGCGATGCGGATTTGCAACAGCAGCAGCAGCCGCAGCTGTTGTAGTGCGATCCGCTCTTCGGGGAAAAGCACTGATAGGGGCAGATTTGGAATACTGCCGATCCGTCCCGGTGCCGCCACGCGATGGCGGCGGCACTTCAACAGGGCTAGGAGAAGGCGATAGATTAGATGACCGGCTGATCGCGGCCCTCGCTAGGCCATCTCGTTGAGACTGCTTCTTTCCCGTGGCGATCGCCCCACTGTGGTGCTCTCTCTCACCACCTCCACCTCCACCTCCACCCCCTCCCCCTCCCCCACCGCCGTGGTGGTTGCTCACGCTACTTCTCTTCGATACAGGAGGATTGTAGTAGACCGGCCCGCTGTAACTCATCGGGCCGCTATAACTAGCTATCGGGCCACTAATGGCAATGGACCCAACAGCCGGCCCGACCCACGAATGGGTGGTTTCATTCATAGCCCACCGAGTTCTTGCCCCCCCGTGATGATGCCACGTGTCATCCCCGTCGCCTCCTCCCTTATTCCCGTGATGCCTTGCACTGCCAGGCTTCGACGTCACCGATCCCTCCGGACTGGCATATCCTCCTCGTCCCCGCCTTGACGCCCTCGGCATGCCGCTTTTCCTCCTCTCCTCCCCTCCTATTCGTCCTGGGGTCCCAGGCAGCGACCTTCCTCCATCCCCCACCCCTCCACCTCCTCCCCCGTAAGGACTCCCCGATTTCGACGACGGCGCCATCGTCGCCGGGCTTTTCAGCCGCACCACTGGCGTGCTCCTCGTTGGACTCTGTTGATATGCCACCGTCCTCTTCAGCTTCACCGTCGGGGACGACGTTCCCCAGGGAGATCCCTGCAAGTGCCCGCTCACCAGACCGCTTGTCGCTACGAATCCACTATTGCCTATCAGTCCGCTGTGGCCGATACTCCCGCTGATACTAACAAAACTGTCATCGTGACGGTTCCTTCGACCGCGAGAATCCCTCCCGCTCCCACCTCCACCCCCCCAGCTGGCTCTCTCCAGACTCGATGGTCTACCAGTCTTCGGACCGCCCCCGCCTCCCCCACCGCCACTGCTCCTCCCCAGCCTCCCGATCCAGGCCAATGCTTTGCCCAGCTTGGAGAACACCGATCGCCCGGACTTCGACTGCTGCCGATCGCCCTCACTCTCGCCGTTCCTGTCGACAGACGCTCCCCCCCCCCTGGAGCCCATCCCACCATCTGAAGCTGCTTTCCTCCTGCTCTCGATCTTCAACGCTGCGGAGTTCCCATCACCACCCCCGCTCCTCCCGACTTCCTCCTCCTCGCCCTCTTTCCCTCTTCTTTCTCTTGCCACGCGCTCCTCAAGCATCCGGTCGGGCGTCAAGGCCAGGAACACGCGTCTCTCCCTCGGGGTAGCATCCGGCGAAGACAAATATGTCCCCCTTCCCTCCCCGGCTTCGTTGCGTTTCAGCTCGCCCATTCCCGGCGATACGGGAGTGCCCTTACCCTTCTCCGGGATCGAGAAGCAGGGCCCATCGCCGCTACCATCATGATGATAAGCCTGCCGCATCATCGTTTTCTCCTCCATGTTCGCCACGTCAGCGAAGTCGTCCGGCACCGATCCCCGGTCCGTCTTTTGCTGCCATTCACTGCTGCTAGTTTTCTCTTTCCAGCTGCCTTTACTTTCCCGGTCCGTCTTTTGTTGCCACTCACTGCTGCTGTTCTCTCTCCAACTGGCTTTACTCTCCCGGAAGCTGCCGCTACTATTGTTCTCCCGGACGCTGCTGCTATTGTTTTCCCGCCAGCTCGCACCGTTGCTATCGCGCCAGCTGGACGAATACCTAGACGAAGATCTCCCTCCCAGGCCCGACTCAGTCGTCTTGTCAGCAATATACTGCAACTCCATGGTCTTATCCGTCACCCAGTCATCCTCCGACCCTCTCCAATCGCCATTACCAACACTACCATTCGCCAGCCCGATCTCTCTTGTCTTGTCAACCATCATCAGTTCTTCCGCGTCCATCCAATCATCGATCAGGTCTTGCTCGTAATCATACATTTCCTCGTCCAGAGACATCGAGACCAACCCCCCAACTACGACTCCTCCAGGACCAATCCCTCCTCCTCCTCCCACTCGCACTGGTGCTTTCTGCTCACCGCACTTCTCCAACACACTCGGCTCTTCTTTGCCCGTGCCCCGCTCATTCAAAATGCCACCATTTTGCTGAAGCTGATCGTGATTTCCCAAGCTATTATAAGCCCTCTCCACTCCCTCCGCAGCGATCGGAGCCGTCTCCAATTCCGACTGTGCTACTTTCGAGAGATGGTTTCGACTTCCTGCCGACAAGGGTGGCTGATTTAAATCCTTCTCCCTTCCACGCAGCGCTGTAGAGTGAAGCTCGCCAGCTCCAACTACCATGACCGAGCTCCCGTTACTTGGCTGGGATGATGAAAGCTCACGCTTCCCTTCAGAACAAGAAGGTGGTATAACAACATCATCCCCAGCCTCCTCTTCCTCCACCTCCCTAATCTCGTAAAGACCTCCAGAGCGCGTCCTGAGGGACGGAAGGGAGCTCGACGACGATTCCTTCACACGACGCGACCCACCGTGCGCTCCGCTGGTTCCTTCCTCCCCCTCTGTTTCTTTCTCGTTCCCCATCGTCACAAGTGTAGTAGCCGCGGCCGCGGCTGCAGTCGCAACCGTTTCCACCCCCATCCTCTCCGTCCATCGGGCCGCTGCAGGCCTCTTTCCATCCGCCGTCTCCTGCCTGCCACTACCCTCCTTCCCATCCTTAGCATCCATCGACACTGAACCAGCGTTGCGGACAAATGGCGACGTCTTGCTTTCGGAGGCGTGCCCACCTGCTGCGGCACGTCCGACCACGCCGTTCTTGTCACTGACGACCCGCCTCGACTCACCAACTTCGTCAAGAAACGATGCTGCGGAGGTTGAACTGACTTCGAGACTCGCCGCTGAACCGACGGTGGCAGCACCCTTCACATCCGCCGCCCAGCCACGGCTAGGAGGCGCAGAACAGGCAGATACAGAGAGACCACCGGATTCAAAGATCGACGGGCAGACGGCAGAGACGGCGGCAACATCGGAGCTACAGCGAGAGGAGAGAGATCTATTAAGGCTGCCATCACCTGAGGAAGAATACAAGCCGTCAGACTGGAAGCTAGACTTAGCACTGCCGCTGAGAAAGGATGTTGACGATCCTGTACAATAAGTCAAATCGGATCTCGGAGGAGATGAGGAGGACGTTTCGGCGACGGGGAGTGCGGGCAAGGCGTCATAGAAAGTATCCCCTCCAGAAGACACCCAGCCTCCTCCTCCTCCTCCTCCCCCTCTCCCTACCACTCTCAGCGATTGAGCTGCAGCTGCCAAGCTTGCAAACGTTGACCTCTTGCAGGTGGGAGCATCCGTCTCCGGCGGACTCGGCGTTCGCCGTCCGATGTGCCCTCTGACACGCTTACCTAAGAATCTAGGGTGAAAAGGACTGCTGCCCAGCTCGGGTAATAACAGAGCGTCTTCCCTTCCTCCCCCTACTTCTCCTCCTGGCTTCTCGCTAGACCATCGGCTGTGAGCCATCGCATCCTCAGCGGTCGAAACTCGTTCGCCAGCTTCAGATGACGACGGTTGATTTTGACGATCGTGAAAGGCCCCCTCCATAGGACTGGTCACGGATCCTTGACGACCCGCATTTCCACAAGTATCTTCTACCACGCCTCGCTTCTTCCCTGCCGTCCCTCCATTTTCTCCCTCCTCCTCAACCTCTTCGACAACTTGCTTCGTAGATTCCTCAGTCGTCGTCCCCGGGAGCACATTAGCATCAGCATCAGGTCGGCCAGGAGAGGCAGCAGGGATGAAGATCGCGCCCCCCCCACTAAAGGAGATGTCATCAAGATCGTCCGATCGCAACACATACGCTTGCATCTCATCGCCGTCCTCCTCCACCTTCTCCTCCTTCCTCTCGACCTCCATGATCATAGATCGTTCCATCCGCTCGCGCCTTTGCTCCTTCTTCTCCTCCGACCTGCCATTGCCTGGGAGCTCGTTTCCTCCTCCTCCCCTATCTCTATCATCTCTCCCCCCTCCTCCCCCACCCTGCTGCTCGTCTTCTCTCCCATGATGATCTCCCATCTCCTCGTCGTCCTCAAGACGGCTGCCACGAATATCACTCCCATCGAATGTCCTCAACTCGTCGCCTTCAAAGGCAAGAATACCATTTTTTGCGTACTCAGCTACGATGACCTCGGGAGTGGATTGCGGGCTCCTTTCTTCGTCATCCAGTCCGGATACGCAACCTACCCCCGACCTCAGGGAAAGCTCACCATTGGCAGCCGCCATAGCTGTCTTCTTTAACTTCCTTGTTCTCACAGGAGTCATCATCATGTTCGACGGCTCTCGCAAAATTTTCCCGTCACTTTTCTCAAAACACGAAGCAGCAGCAGCGTCAATGCCGCCAGCATATCCGTCAGGCACTTCTTCTGGTTCTCCAATTCTTCCTCTTTTTTTCCTGCCCGTCGAAGAGTCGGGGCTGCGGTCGATCTCCTGAATAAGAACACGACGCTGCTGCTCCGTCCTCAGCTTCGTTGTCGTTGTTGTCATCATCACGCCCGTTGTTTTCCCGAATAGTATCATCTCTTCAGACGCGTCGAAACCGCCATTTATCTCTCCCATTGTCCAAGAGCAAGGCGTCTTCTTTGGCGATCTATTATCGTCATTAATCTCCACGATCAACGGTGAAGGTGATTTTCTCTGTTCATCTCCTAACGACGCTGCAGACGGCGCCGACATCGAAAATCGCTGGACCTGAGACGGAGATGGAAGAACGCCGTCCGCCATCGCCGCGTGCCACGTGCCATCAGCTCCTTTTCTTGGTTTCTTGGTTCTCCTAGATTCATGGGACACGTGGCAAAAGACTGCACTTTTCGGGATTATGCCCGTCAGCGTGATAACCTCCGACCTGCCCGACGACGGAGTCCGTAGTCTGGTCATCGAGGACTCGGTGTGCTTTTCCCCACCTGCCTCTTCCGTTTCTGCTGCTTCCGCTGCTTCTGCTGCTGATGAGAGACACGCAGAACCAGAAGATCGGATTGCGAAACAGCTCAATCCCTGTTTCCTCATCTCAAGCGAGGCGACGGCGTTGTCATCCCTCGTGAACCCAGCAACGGATTTCGTGGCAGCACCTTTGAGAACGACGTTACCTTCCTTGTCGTACCGATCCAACGATCGAGATGCAAGAGGAAGCATCAGCCATTCGTTTCGTGATGTCCCATTTGGCGTTATCATCGGAAACTCTTTCGAGTCATCAACGTCCCCCTCTTCTTCTTCCTCCTCCTCTTCGTCCTCTTCCTCGTCTTCCTCCTCAGGACTACACGACATCAGGGCAGGGCCGTCGCCCCTCCTTACGGTCTTCGCATTCACTACTGAGAAGGCCAACGAGGGGGCAACAACAGAGGCGCGCGCCCCCGCCACCACGTGTCTTGCTCCGTTACCCTTCTTCAACCGGCGCTCAGCATCATGGTTATGGAGTCTTCGCGTCAGCAAAGGCTTCAGTAACTCGGACTCAGATGGCCGGTAATCGGGCGAGGTCGGCTGCTGCAGGAATCGTATTGATTGCGGCAGCAGCAGACTGGACGACGGCGCTGAGCTGTAGACCCGCTGCTGCTCATGATCCACTTGGTCGGTAGTTGATTCAGCTCCCGTGTCATCAGACGAAGATAATTGCGACGTGACAAGAAAGTCCGCTTGGTCGTTGCATCGCTGATCGTCGCCTCCATTGGCGACCACAATCCCGATCCCCAGCGCCTGACTCTGCTCAACTGCATTTCCTGCCTTCGAGTCAGTCACCACAGAACTCCGTGAAGATTGAACTCGTCCATTGTGACGACGGCTTGACAATTGACGGTCAACGGACGAGGCGCTTGCGGCAGCCTTTGTCAGTGGAGAGCTCGGGGTCGAGACGGCCATCAAAGGAGTGGCAGCCAATGTCGATGCAGGAAGAACAGCTCCGGCTGTGGGAGCACCACCCACTTGCAGGGGGAGGGAAGGAGAAACAACCTTGGCAACCCCATGAATGCCTCCCACTGACCTCATTTTCGCCAACGATTTCCCCCCCTCCTCGACAAGGAAAGCCAACGGCGAGGAGGAACCCGGTGTAAGCACCGACGGACAAGATTTGCACCCGCTGCCGGTCATCGTCTCATCTAGAGGAGCCTTGTCCCCCGCTTCTTCGCCCTTGCCCTCGACGTCGTCGCTCTCCGCCCACTGTTTACCGTTACCTACAGAATCAAGCCAACTTTCGCCGCCAGCCACCTCCGCCTCAGACGCACTCTCTCCACCTTGCTCCGAGGACGACACGTTTCCCATCACCTCCGTAGCAGTGGACGAAGCGTAGGCGACACCAACACCTGTTAACGAGGAAGAAGGAGAAAGTGAGGAAGAAGAATAAGACGAAAAGGGGGAGGAAGAGAAAGAACGGGAACGCGAGTGCAAATCAGCAACAGTGATATAAGCATCATAATGGAGCGAGGATACCGGCGGCTCCCCCGCTAAAGAGACTTCACCATTCTTGGGGAACTTCTTCCCCTTAACAACCTCTTCTTTTCCGTTCTGACCAACCTCATGCATTTCCCCTTCTTCTCCCTTTCGATCGCATTCTTCTCGCTCCTCTTCTTCGCCCCCTTCTCCGTCCCCTTCTTTCTTCCCCTCTTCCGGTTCCCCTTCGTTGCCCGCGTCCTCTGTCTCTGGAGCAGAGCTGTACAAAAGTCTGCTCCAACGGCGAGTAACGACGGTCTCGACTACTGGAGCCTGCTTAATCCCTGCTGGTAGATCGACCGACAGAGCGATCGGGGACAACTCCCGAGTTCCAGAGTGAGGAGCACAACCATGCCCAGAAGTGGTGGCCAAAACAAAAGGATTGGGCATCCGATCGTGTGCTACACCTGTACAGGTCAAGCCGCCTCCATTCGCTGGCGCAGAAATGAAAGAGTGATCGGACGAAGACGACGGAGAGGAGGCGAGGTGACCTGGGAAAGACGTAATGTCGCGAGATAAGGAAAGGCCGCTGGCGCCATTGGTTGTTGGGGTCCCAAAATTGCCAGCAAGCAAGGTGTTGTGCGCGAAAACACCTGCTTCCCCCGCAGATCGGCTAACTGCAAGCGTCTGGAGGGCAAGATTTCTGCTCTGATTACAAGCTAGATTCCAATCGTAGCGCCGATGTGACGTGCATAAAGCAGGTGACTGGTCACAACGATATTTCGCCAAGTGGCGGCAGAGACGTGACGTCACGGGCGTCGTCGAGGTCTCAGAGAGAAGGCCATTGTTAAACGAAAAGGACTCCCGACGTGTAGCAGAAGGCGTCGAGCCCTCCGTCATGTCCATCGAATGGATCGACGGCAGCGGCGAAGGAGAAAGGAGGATTCCGTTGTCGTGTTGCGCTTGTTTTCCACCGTCGTCAGTCCACATCAATGGCGAAGAAACGACCGACGACTCGTCTCGGCCCGCATCCTGCCTCGCTGGCGATATCCCCATCGACGGCGTGAGCGTAATGTCAGACAACCTACTACCGTCAGACAGCCTTCCCTCGCACGAATCAGACGCGCCAGACCTAGCAACCGCTGCAAACATCTCGTTGACGTCTAGACCATTGCAGCCCGTAATGCTCACCCATTCGTGAGTCTCATCCCCAGCAGCGAAGGTAACTCCCGCCTGGGACGACGAGGCCGGGACGGAGGAGGCGCCGGAAGATGCCCCCGCGGCAGCGTCATCAGCAACCTTCAACTCGCTGTCAATATCCTGGATGAGGGGAAAACCTGCGGCTGAGGGCCAAGCAGCGCTCACAGAGCAGTCCTTACGACCACCATTCTCGGTTGATATACTACTGTCAAGAGCCTGAGACGACGAGGCGGACGGGGAGCTTCTCCTCCCTCCTCTTCGTACGTCTCCGCTGCATTTGCTGAGCAATGGAAGAGAAGAACGACGGGTTACATCTGCTGCGAGTACTGATAACGACATCGCCTCTGGAGAGTCGTCATTCCTCAGGATCCGAGGTCTTTTCCTCGGTTCCTCATCATCATCGTCGTCCTCCTCCTCTTCTTCATCAATCTCCACAAACTCCTTCAACAGCCTGTCTACTTTCTCATTACTGGCAGCGCCATTTGCCGCAGCACAAGAGGCAGCAGTTGCCCTCAGGCCACCAGGAATGCTCTCAAATCTGCTGCTGCACCCCACGGCACCCCAGACAGAAGTGATACCATCACCGCAGTCGCCGTCACATTTCGACAGTCCACCGTCATCATCCCCACCGTCCGAATCAAGTGAAAAGACACCGGAAGGCAGCGATTGTGTGTCCCCATCGTCATCGTCCGACGACCGTTCCCCATCGACGACAACACCATCCGATGTTACGTACATTTTCCTCCTCGTCGTCGTCGTCGTCGTCGTCGCGGTGGTGGCGCAACATCGACGCAGCGCCGACGTCCCACCATCATCCCCGTTCTGCAACGCATCGAGCTCTGCGTACCAGCAGCCATCGCCGAGATCTGCAGCCGCAGACTTCGCGCCTTCTCGCGGCTTCGCTGAGCTCTGCGTGCCCTTTCCCTCGTGGTTTCGTTGAACTCCACGTGGGGATCCACGTGGGGATCCACCACCATCATCCTCTTTTCCACCCGCCTGTCGCCGGTCGGCCTTGATCCTATGTTCGCCCTTCTTCTTGCCATTGCCGCCGCATGCCGTCTTGGCATCATATCCGTAATCGCACCCTCCAAACCGAGTCGGAATGTCCTCACCACGACGACGATCGTTCCCGGCGGCGACTTTAGCGACCACTTTGGCAAACGCACTTTCTCTTGCCAGATCAGCCTTTCCGACCGACGATAATGAGCATGCCAGGTCATCATTCTCCTCACCCCCTTGACCGTTAAGCATTGCACCACCGTCACCTTTCGGGATCCTCATCACTCCCACCGACGATATACATTCCTCACGCTCCTGCCTTCCTCCACTATCGCGGTTATCGTTAATACAACGCCCAAATCCAACACCCGACCCCTTCACCCTAGCAGAAGGCATGGGCGCTTCACCACAGAATCACGTAGTTGCCGTCATCCCGATCGTAACGCTTGTGAGTCGGTATCCGACACCAGATAGGTCGACTCATTGAGCCAGTTGTGCAGTGAGGCTACTACCACTACTGGCGATACGCTGACCGCATTCGACCACGACGAGATGAGAGAGGACATCAGATAGGCGACGGTATGGGCGGCGACGGCGTTGGGCCCCCTCCGACAACTGCAAAATCATATGAAAGCCAGCAGAGAGGAGATCAGGAAAACCGAAACAGAAGAGAGCTGTCGGAAGTGGAAGGTGGGAAAATGATAACAGAAGAGAAACACAAGAACAGGATGTAGAAGAAGAAGACGGACTAAGAACAGAGATGGCAGAAGCCCGCCAAAGCAACGGCACCGAAGGGGCTCACGCGTTGAGATCTGCGTGTCACCTCCTTCGGTTTGAAGGAGAAAGGCCAGTACGGAAGGGACATTTGACGCCACTCAAGTCGCACACGCCGCCCGTGCCGTAAAAGGGTGAAAACGGCTACGAATGGCATCATCTCTCTCTCTCTCTCTCTCTCTCTCTCTCTCTCTCTCTCTCTCTCTCTTGTGTGTGTGTGTGTGTGTGTGTGTGTGTGTGTATGCGGCTGTTCAAATCTCGTAAGCGAGCCTGGATCTCTTGGTGAAGATCCTCAATTCCCTCCCGACGGGATAGGGTACCAAGAGCGAGAGCTCAACCGACTTCTCTCTCTCTCTCTCTCTCTCTCTCTCTCTCTCTCTCCACTGTCAGCGCGCCCGCTAATCTGCTATTTTCCCACCCCGAACATACCGGAGATCGCCATACATGATTATTCCAAAAGCCCCCTCTTCGGGAGCTCTCTCATCATTCTAGGGCGCTGTAGATCCCAGCAACGAAGAAACGAAAAGTAGACGAGAAAACACTTGTCGCCTCGATCGTCATCGTCATTTTCCTAAGGATCTACTGAACGGAAAAGTCCCCTCAGTGGCGCCCCGCCTGTCCTCTAGCTCCTTCGGGCCTCTCTTCGCCGAGAAGAGGCAAGAGGCACAGCCTGTCGGACCCCGCTTCGGAAGCGCGTAGAGTACCCCCTGATGCACTTGCAGTCTTGCACCCTTACCGGGGACAAGGTCCCACTTGCACGGATTAAGAGATTCTGGCCGTTGATCTCTGCTATCCACGGTCAATATCGCTTAATAATTCGTGTAAGTGGGACGTAGCCCCGGAAATGTCCGTACATGTAACCGTTAGCCGAACACATTCCATTTTCCACCAAAACGCCGCCCAAAGTCGAAAAGACCGCAGGACATCGGTCAGGAGGTAGTTAAACGGCGGGAGCATGAAAAACCGGCGGGGTGCTGTTGCCGCTGAACTCCAAAAAAATCGCTTGATATCACCCGTCGATTCAATGAATATCTGTCCTCCGCAGCCCGTGATTGCCAAACAAACGCAGAAAAACAGTTGAAGCGACACGTGCCGATGATTTCAGGCTCCGCCGGGAGGGCCGCGGATCTGCTCTCCTGCCGCCACAGAAGGAAATAGAAGAGAACACGACAGGAAAGGACATCACACAAAGGGGACGGCAATGCATTGTGCCGCGAAGTTCGCCCCGACGTTCGGCCCGCACCCCCTGCTGCTGCTATTCCGCCGTGCTAGAAGGGTGGAAGATCAAAATTGGACGGTGGTTGTCTCCGGTCAACTCCAATATCCTGGACCTAGGCCGTGCGATTCCACTACTATTTTCGCACGGAACGGACTCAGCGGTCAGAGATGACGAGGATGGTTGCACCAGGCCCCGTGCCGCGTCTATTTTCTCAATTCGAGTCCAGCCGGCCAAGTTCCGCTGGACCACTTGCTCCAGTCCAACGCTTGCTTTCTTTTTTTTTTCTTTTTTTTTCTTGTTCATTACCAAAAACTTCAATTTGAGGCCGGGGACCTCACAATTCAACCCGGCAGCATTAGCCGGTTTCGATGACAGCCATCTGCGTTGGAGAACACCAGGTAAACCTTTGCTTCATGAACGATCTGAATAGCAAGCGCCCCATATGAATCACGAGACCCAAAGCTTCTTCCTACCCCACTAGCGGTTAATGGAAGACCAAAAATTCGGGGTTTTTCGCCGCATCACTACAAGCAATGTTGTAGAAACTTTTGCGAACGAACAATGCAGGGTCATAATACAAACATCAAAAAACCAATCAGGCAAAAGAAAAACAAAAAAGTCAAACTCAAGAGCACTATAAATCCCTATTCGGAGTAGCTTTCGGAGTTCGCTAAAGCATTTTTCGAGTCTGCTGTTTTTGCTAAGTTTTTTGTTACTGCTTCAAATAAGGCAAAACTGAATACAGATATACCCTAAAGCACATATATAACAGGCAAAAAGAAAAACTTTTTTGAAAAGGGCGACGGCCTTGAGATATCATCGTTGAGCTGACCGACCCCGGGCAATTCAGAAATATTTACTCATCAATCAAGTTCCATCATCTGGATTCGAGCTCAGGTCTGTATTTCAACAGTTCATGGGTGTACCCATTGAGCTAGGCTCTTGAGTGGCAAAAAGAAAAACTGAGAAAAGAATAAAAATTCAGGAAAATATGACAGTTTCGGTGAAAAATTCGCCAAACTTTGGGCCTTCCATTAACCGCCTCTCACCTATTCCATTCTACGACTAACCTACAATACTACTCTACAGCACGACAAATGTCTTATTCGTAACAGACAGACCTATGCCCAAGGAATTACCTTACCTGCAGCTACTGTACATAGCTCCAGCTCTCAGTGGACCGCATGTTTTGGACTCGATATCATCAATGACTCCAAAAATTCTTACTTCCTTGTTGCAACTTCCCTACTTCATAGTCCTACACATTTACCAAACTTCAACTCCTTCGTATTATAGCAGCATTACAACAATTGAATCTAGCCTAACCTAAACTGCTTGGACCCACTAAGCGAGCCTACCCTCGGCCCGCAAACAGCCTAACATCGGCTGATTGGAACTCGCATTCCTTCCAAACATTGCCACTCTTCCGCCCGCCCCCCACTTGTTGCCTCCTGCGGCATGACACTCGTACTATGGGGGGAACCGAGTGCCCTGGTTCCCCTCTCTGTTTTATTGACCTATCTACTCTCTGCTATTCCAACAAATAACCCACACTTCTCGCTGTACTCTCCGCCTGTTCTTTCACCCACGGGGAACGGACAAGCCCCTTCGTCCTGTTCACTCCTGCCAATTGATGGAGATGAGTCCAAGTGTCCAGGAACCATTGTAACTGTCTACTGCTCCCTTTTCTGGATTTAGCTATTTTCCTCCAATCCACCTTAATCGCTTCTCTCAACCCTTGCTTTACTGCTTTTTCTATCTCCAGACCAGAGAAGGGTCTTCCTTCAAACCTCGCCCCGTTCCTGTCTTTCCATATGATCTCATACAGCAGATCCCTCACCACCTGGGCCACATACCCCTACCCATGTTTCCTGTGCAAACTTGTGATAAGCCAGGATCCGCACTCGGCGGTTTCCCATACCCCTAAGGGAAAACCCCATATAGAACCCCAAAGTATTGATTGAAGATAATGGAAGAAAGCGGTGTTTCATTTTATTTTATTTTTTTGTCCTTTTTGTTTAAAGGGAGTGGGGGCGGAATAGAAAACATAATTCGGGTCTGGCGAAGCCGGTTAGCGGTTGCGCCAAGAAATGTAAGAAACAATTGGGACTTAGCGGGAGTAGGATTTTGAATTTTTGTGCGAACGACAGTTTTTGAATTTTTGCGCGCCGCGTAAACATGTTCCCCCGCTCTGCATCCCCGCGCCATCTTTCCTTATTGATGGGCATCTCCCTCCTGCATGTCTCTTCGTCTTCCCTCTAAGCGAAGTCGGATCCTCCCCCCTTCTCCTTTCCCTGCGAACGATCGACTGTCTGATTGGGATGGTCGGGGCAATGTGGTGGCCGCGGGAAGCGCACCCCACTTGGATGACCACCCCAATCACGCAGAACATTCGATTCGCCTCCTTCGACCCTTCTGGAACGTTTACCCTTCTTTTGTCCTGACCATCTACACCCCGCGCTTCGTGCATCCTCTCCGCCGCCTTCAGCGCTATAAATTCCTGCAATCCCTTCCTCTCACTCTCTTTGATCTCGGCTGCAAGTTGTGCAAGCTATGCGCGAAGCCCGCGGCGCTAGAAAGGCTTGGTGTGGCCGTGGTAGGCGGAGTGACGATGGGTGGCGGAGTTAGCGGTAGACTTGGGGGTAAGGCAGTTGGAGGGACTGAGCGGTGGTGGGGATCAGACGCCGACAGCGGCAGGGTCTTGTGGCTATGGTTGTTGGTGGTTTTGACGGATTGGGGACTGGCCCCGGAGCGGCCAGTCGAGAGAATTTTGTATTTTGAAGGCAAAGTTCTTTTCTCCATTGCTACTTTGTCCCCGTGCAATGTGTGAATGATTTCAAAGGTTGGGTAATTTGTTGTGCATTTCGGGTACGAAAGTCTATGGATGTTGAATGGTTCATTAAAAACTCTATGGGGTTGCGTGTGTGTATGCGCCTCTTGCATGAGGGCATGGATGCATCGGTCCTTCCCGTCTCCTTTTCTCGCTTGGTAAAAATGGTAAACATGACAGACTAAAACACTTCGTCGGTTCGAGCAAGTCGAGACCACGGCCAATAAAACTTAATAGGTCAAAGTGTCAGATTGTGAATTTGAAAACACGGGTTCAACTCCCTTGATTCGCCTCTTGCATCTGAACTCCTGCGAGCCTAAATCCAGCCTTTACGTTCACCCAGAAGAGCATGAGTCAATCAATTCAATATGTAAATAGCGGATATAGATTAAAGGTAAATTGTTTGTCTTCCAAGCAGGGGATATGGGTTCGATTCCCATTATCCGCAGTTGCAATTTGAGATAGTGACATTTATAAGAAAGATTTATGCTAAAAAATTATTGTCAAGCATGACTATCTTCTCTTTCTTGGTCGGCGGCTGGTCAAATACAAAGGCCCTTTAGGTTGTACTAAATTACTTATAGAGGTATGCATACACT